AGCAGGAGTTCCTCAAGGAGGTATATTGTCACCAACCTTATTTAATATATTTATGCATGATATACCGTGCCAAAGATGCAATGAAAAAGCTTTGTTTGCTGACGATATGTTGATTATGACCCAAAGTAGTGATTTGGAGGAAGCTATACAACAGCTACAAGATGCTATTAACGACGTGCCGCAATGGCTTACTAAATGGTCCTTACACCTGAATGAAGACAAATGCGAATCAAAGATCTTTACGTTACGGCGTTACCGAAATACAACACGCATAGTAATCAATAACACAGAACTTCATTGGAATCCTACAGACAAAGCTGTCAAATACTTAGGCCTGCATCTTGATCAACGATTAAATTGGGGTATTCACGTAAACAACAGATTGAATTTGGGATATGCTCGATTGAAACAACTATTTCCTCTAATAAATAGAAAAAGTCATCTGAAAACTAAATGCACTATGTTGCTATATAAAGCTTTAATAAGATCTTTGGTCACCTATGCTTGCCCGGTATGGAGTAATGCTTCAGCAACAAATATCCGAAAATTACAAGCTCTACAAAACAAAATTCTACGGACGGCAGTAGATGTGCAATGAACAACTTCACTCTGAACTAAACATAATGACTATTGAAAGTTTTATAAGAGGCGTAACTAAAAAATTTTACGAAAACATCAATAAGTGTTCCAGTGCTAGTAACTTTAATTTGGGTCTCAAAAATTTACATCAGCGACTTAAAAGGAAAATGCCTCAAGACTTATTGTAAATTAAGCTTAAATTAGATTCCCTCGGAAAGTTACTTTGTTCCTTAGTGAATTTAGACGTTATAAACTGCGGATGGTTGATCTTTGTGCTATGGAAATTTCCGAGATTTTTTTCTTTTTACCTTCTCTGTCTTTACGTTTCCTTCCAGAATTTCATTTTTTCTTTGAGTCGACGTTAGCTGTACAAGATCCGACATTTTAATCCTGTTTTGCTGTATTCCAAATTCGATGTATTATCCGCGTAAAACGTTGAATTTGGTGCTGCACTGTTTAATTGCACCGTGTTTCAACTTTTCATTGCTTACGTTTTTCAGCAGTTTTTTTTTGCTCGTTGCTTAAATTAGGTTTTTTCAACGCTTCTTTATAATTTCGTATATTTTCTGACATTTTCAACAATGTTTATACTTGGCGGAGAATATATAAAATTAACTTTTTTTTTACCAAGATTTAGTAATTGATACTGGTTTAAATTTTTACTGTCATAAACATACCCGACCTACTATGATCAATGAATATGTTCTATAATGTGTATATAAATAAATTAATTACAACTTTTTTTTGTTTATTCAATAATCCTATAAAAAATCTCAAATCGGACACTTATTTTGGAACGGAGGTAGTATAATTTAGTATAACTCGAAAACTAAAAACCATGAGGAAAAATTTTATTAATTTAAATTGTTTATAATAAACGATATTACCATAATCTACATCGACATCCATTCTTGCTCTGATAATTCTCAAGTTATTTCCCAAAGCATCCCTAAATATCGATATTCACAATTTCAATAGTAAAATATTTTATAGCTTGAAAAGTAGAATTCTATTAGGATTAATTGTTCGTACAGAACAACAACGATCAACGATTTGAATCCATTCTTGATTCTTTATTACCAGAAAAACCAGAAAGTTTCACAAGTAACACAAGTTTACTTTTGTTTAAATACTGAATTAAGTATAAGTCGAAAACTAAAAGCCGTGAAAAGAAATATTATTGATTATAAATTGTTTATAACAAACAATATAATCATAATTCGTATCGACATCCGTTCTTGCTCTGATAATTTCTGAGGTAGTTTTCAAAATATCTCTAAATATCGAACAGTACAATTTAGATAACAAAATATTTTGTAACTTGAAAAGTAAAAGGGATGAAGGAAAACGCTATGAATATTAATTGATCGCAAAGAATCATAAAAACACGATATCGCGATTTAAATCCATTCATTGCTATTTATTAGCTAAAAACCAAAAACCTCCATAAATTTCAAAATTTACACTTTTATTTAATATAATCTAGTATAACTCGAAAGCCATGAGAAGAAATGTTATTAATTTCAAATTAATTATAAATTCTCTAGATTTCATGTGCAATGGCGAACAGAAGAACTTGAGAAGATTAAAAATCGTTTAGATGCGCTAAGTACGATCATTAAAGTTACGCATGACCAATATTATAAAGATGTCTACAAAATAGTAAAATCTGAGTATATAGCAAATATGGACAAAACAAAAAGAGATGCATACGGAAAATACATACATTTCTCTGCGAATAGAATATCTGCTGCGTGGAGATTGGTAAAAGAGGAAACAAGTAAATCAAAAAGCCCGAAATATACAAATAATTCTAATCTAAACGCGGATAAGCTGAACGATTTCTTTGTAAATATTGGAACCTCACAAATATACTCCTCTTCTAACATTGAGGAAACCACAATGCCACTCATTACTACCTCAAAAATAGAGAATTTTAAATAAATTGATGAGCAAGAAATCATAAATGTTATACGAGCTCTTAACAGCCTCGGTCCTTTGGCAGCCTTCTTGCAGCCAGACCACATCTAGCAAGTTTTCAGCGAATGGTTCTCTCACTGACATCAACAACATGCACCATTTGTAAATGACGCCGAGCTTCTACAGCTGTCGTTCTACAATTACTTAATTGTCGATTACACGGAGATAGTTTACACGCCACTAGCGCACTTTTTTACTAGCTGCTAGTAAAGTAGTTCTGTGTAATTATGGTGGCGTGTAAACTATCCAGATAGTTAGCTAGCAAATATGTATGCGAGTCAAGTTGGAGACCGGTCAACTTTACTAGCTACTAGCTCACATTTTTACTATCTAGATAGTAAAAAAGTATCGTGTAATTATATCGGCGAGCAAAGTAGGTACAGAGTAGAAGAGATTTTATAATACTGACGGTTGTAATGTCAAGGTTGGTTCAGTTATATATAGTGAAAATGACACCTAAAATATCAAAAGAAGTATTACGTGGATGTGCCTTGGTTCTTGGAGCCGTTTTACAAGAAGAATTAAAAAACACGATTTGCGAGAAATGAAAAAGGAAATGGGTGAGGGAATGGATTTCTCGCAGAGATAAGTTAGGTGCTTCTTGCACCCTTTTAAAAGAATTAGCTGAAGAAGATCCGACAGCTTATAGAAATAGCCTAAGAATAAGTACTACAAATTTTAATAATTTGCTGCAAATGGTAGAAGATTCAATCCAAAACACTAATACGGTAATGAGATTGGCTATTCCCACAAGAGTAAAACTTGAAATAACGCTACGCTATTTAGCCACTGGAGACAGCTTTGAATCTTTGGAGTATCTATTTCGAGTCCCGGAATGTACAATTTCGAAATTTTTACCGGAAGTTCTAACTGCAATATCAGATGTTCTCAAACCCTACCTAAAGGTTAGTTAATCTAATAAAGTTATTACCTAAAGAAATAGGAGATAAATAAAACTAGTCATGAACAGTAAATAAGTTTATTTTTCTCTTCTTTTTTAAAACAATTACAATGACATATAAATTGCATTGTCTGTACTATCAAGGAAACTATTCTGCATGGCTTCCTCTAACACATCAGAACTCTTTTTGTTCCAAACAGTATTTGGAAGGACATTGGCGTAGTCAGTACTTTTCTTGGTATTTGTAGTAGATGTATAATTTTCAGTAATAACACTATCAGGATCGGGTGATGGTTGTGGAGTGGAGCAAACTACAGATTGAGCATATGTAGAGGGTGAACATGATGGCATACATGATGAAGACGGCAGATTAGAAAGTTTTGTATTAGTAATCAAATTCTGTATTTGTTGTTGTAGTATTATTGCCTCCCTACTAGGTAATTCTCGAAGCTCTATGGCAACATACTGTCCAAAAACATCAAATGCATCCTGTTTGTTCACTTTTGAAACAATATCATTAAATTCTTCAAGGGCACCCTGTACGCATGATCGTTTTTCTTTGGCTTGGGTTCTTTTGGCAGGAGGAGGTTTCGTGATCGGTGCATGAAGAACTCTTTTCTGTGATGGATAGGATTGTTCACCCGATGTTGTCCTGTCAGTGTTCAAATCTGATTCTCCTTCTTCTGTATCCGTTTTGTTTTCGTCCACTGTGGGTTGTATATCCTAAAAATAATAGATAATGCTTTGAAATAAGAAACAAGTATCAGCGTTTTTATTATATTTTCAGGTGCCCTCAGCAAGTGATGAATGGAAAGAAATAGAAAAAAAATTCATGGCATATTGGAATTTTCCTAGATGTTGCGGTGCAATTGATGGTAAACACGTTCAAATTAAATGCCCACCAAACAGCGGTTCATCATTTTATAATTATAAGGGCACATACAGCATAATTTTATTCGCCATGGTGGATGCAACTTACAGCGTCAGATACATAGATATAGGAGGAAATGGACGTGCAAGCGATAGTGCAATATTCAGAGACTCAACTTTAAACATAGCCATTCAGAATAAGTTGTTAGGCTTCCCTGACAAATCAGTTATTATTGGTGACGATGCATTTCCCTTAAGAGCAAATTTAATGAAGCCGTATAGTAAAAACAACTTATCAAATGAAGAAAAAGTTTTCAACTATAGGCTTTCCAGAGCGCGGCGAGTAGTAGAAAATGCATTTGGTATACTTGTCTGGTGATTTCGAGTATTTCAGAGACCAATACAATTAAAATCAGATACTATTGATAAAGTAATCTGGGCTGCTTGTAGTTTACATAATTGGCTACGAATGACTTCTAATACTTACCTTACCCCACAATCAGTTGACAGTGAGGATTTAAATACTTTTGAGGTGTCATCGGGAACGTGGCGAAATCATACTAATGGACTACGGCTGGTGAGCCACTTGGGCAGCAATAATTACAAACGAGAAGCGGAGAATGTACGAAGTTCTTATGCCCAATATTTTATGACAGAAGGATCTGTTCCATGGCAATGGGAAAAAGTTGGTATTGAAATTTAACCAACCCAAGAGTAATAAATACTAATTATTATGTTTTTTTATTGAATAAATATATACTTACTAAATTTGATTTTGACTCTCTTGTTGATGTAACTTCCCGTAGAAAATCAGCTTTACCAAACCAAATCAATTTAGGAGTGTAGATATCATCGGTTCCCATACCACTTTTTTTTGACTTTTCAATTTTGGTCAATTCTTGGCGGTAGGCATCTTTAATACTTTTTATTTTTGATTTTAGCTGCTTTGGTGTCATATCCTCAACTAAACCTTCAGCTTTTAATTCTTCAGTTAATTTTTCGAAAACCGCGTCCCTCAATTTTGTATCGTGATAACTTTTTAGTTTTATATTCCATAATATTGGAAAACTTACTGATATTACTATTCCACTACATGTTGAGGCTTTGTACACATAAACACAACAATCAGGTGGTTGCGAGTGAACAAGATCAAGCTTGTTTACGTGATGCATGTAATCATGCGCGCTTTTTAGTCGCTAACTATCTGACTAGCCGGATAGTAAAAAAGTGCGCTAGTGGCGTGTAAACTATCTCCGTGTAATCGACCCTTTAGAACAATAAAACGGTCATCAGCTACTATTGTCAATCGTCTTCTTTTCACAGGCGATCGCTTTAAAATACTGCATCTTCGTTTATAACAAAGATAATAAAGTGAATAAAAAAACAAAATGCTCAGAAGAGATTGGGCTACTGTTTGATTTCAGTTAACATCCTCTACTGTAGCAGCTGCACCCCACAGGGTATTACAAATTTCGAATTAATATCCGAATAAAAATTTCTATCGCAGGATTATTACAGAAGAATCAACCTTTCGATCAAAAAAAGAATCATTAAAATCGAATTAGTGGTTCGCGAGAAAGCCAGCTTTGAAATTGTGGCTACATTTTAGTGGCCGTTTTTTTTTGCCGGTCAGTATATAACTCGAAAACTGAAAGCCATGAGAATAAACGTTATTATTAATTATAAATTGTTTATAATAAACGATATAATCATAATCCATCCACATCCATCCTTGCTCTAATAATTTTCTAGCAATTTAAAAGCTATTAATTGTAATAAAAAGTAGTAACTACTTCTATTATAAGTAGGTGATTCCCTGGTTCCTCTCCATTCTGCATGGAAACTTATGTTGAAACTTATTTTTAAAACAATGTTCAGAAGTTAGCACCCAGATCGTGATTCTCAACTCTAAAGAGGAGACCTTGCCTTGTACCTGGTACACCTATGCTTTAACGACAGTTGATCCAGAGTAAGTGTGGATTAAATTGCCCCTCAGCTCGAACATAACCATTTTTCAAACTGAAGTTCTTGCTATAAACTTGTGCACAAGAGGTTTTATGCATCAGCACACTTGATCTAAGGCCGCTCTCGGGTTTCCTGACCGGCCATGCGTCCTTAAAATACCACCTTTTCTACATTGGACAAGCAGAGGATTAAACTTATCGAATTTGCAAAGACTCACATAAGGTCATGTTATCAATTTACGACGACAAAAATGTAAACTATGATTTTATTTGATATTCTGATTAAAAATGCTTATGTGGAGCCTATTTCATAATTATCTTTCAGAAAAATACCTAATTAGAGTTAGTTGGTATCAGGTACTTATAGTATGTTCTAATTAAAAAAAAGCAATTCAAAGTCAAATTGTTTATTAGGGTGTTAATGAATGATGTGCAAATATTTTAGGAGGTGGTAGTACTAGACAAAATAAGAAAAAAATGCCAATATACATGTGGCCTCAAAGGCGTTATTTTCGATATACAGGCTTGAAAAGTTTCAATTATTTTTTCGAATTTTACGTTTGTCTCCAGTACCTTCTGGAATAATTGTTTCAAATTTGATACATTTATTGTCTTTTAGAATCTCTATAAGAAAATATCAATACCGTCTATGGCAGTACACAGGGTGTTCATTTTTTTAGTGTCCGATCCATATGCGTTCCGGAACCTTTTCTTTTTGAGTACCCTGTACAGATTCTGATATCATATTTCAACTACCTGTCCTTTTATTCGCCTTTTTGGTGTTTTGGATTAATATCGAATTTGTTGTTGAAAATAGATAAAAATCTTCATCTATCCTTGGTTAGCATTAATGGCTATTTTTGTAAATAACTCGAAAACAATGACAAATTCGAGAATAATGCAAAACACCAAACAGTTGTAGAAAATGACAGAGATTTTGAAGGTTATCAGAATGTATGCACATAAAAAAATAAATACATAGTTACCCTCAATGGTCACCTGTATATCGAAAATGACGTGTTTTTGACCACATGTATACTGGCATTTTTTTCTTATTTTGTCGATTACTACTATCCGTACCCCCTGAAGTATTTGCACATCATTCATTAACACCTGTATAGTTTGAATTAGTAACATAAGTACATAATGTACAATTTTGATTAAAACATTATTTTATATAATATTATTGTTGGTTAAGTCCATCATAACACGTTAAAAAAACTTTTTTTAGCGTGTTGAGTGTGTTGTTTAACGTGTTACGATTTTAATATTCAATATTAATTTTACTTCTAATGTCTGATGTAATCTTGTTTAATTGAAAATTTTGACAAGCTCTCCGAAGACGGCTAGATAGCCGAAACTAGTAAGAGCAAATAAGTAAAAATCACCGGAGTATACGAAAACAGATCCTCATCATCGTTATTATCATCAGACTCCTGATCACCATTACCTTCATCATCATCACCAAAGTAAGTATGTTGCCTTAGCATGCTTAATACAACTTCATTGAATTGGGTTTTCCTTTTTTTAGTTTTTTTTCGATTATTTGTCACAATAGGGTCCGAAGATACAAGCATCCAGTTAAATATGTCAGTATTGGTGTTGATCGTTGAAGTTTTTCGGGAGTGATATTGTCTCAACTTTTTATACTCTTTATGGCCTGTCTCAATTACGTCTTCTGGTAGTTGACCCACTGGCAAAGGTAAAGATTTGATGATATCAGCTCCATGTATTAATAGTTTGTGAACACTGGCACTCATTTTGTACCAACCATAAAGCGAAACAGCGATTTGTGCTGTTTCAAAACAATAGTTTTTAAATATATCTTCTTTAACGTAGTGCCCACAAGAAATGATGGACTGTATATTTGCAAATCTTTCTATTAATTCTTTATCGATTCCTGTTATTTGGGAAACAAGCAAAGGATTCTTAAAAAATTTCCGCGCTGTGTTTCCGTCGTTACTATTACCTCCACCTTGTTTTGGCTGATCAACTACGAGGCCCAATTTCTTATAAAATTCGGCCGCTATTTGATTTTTTCTTTCCTTTACTTTTTCTTTGTCATTTTCGCCCCTTGCTTGCCACTTCTGTAACTCCAATTTATATGCTATATGCAGTAAATATTCATAGCATCTAAGATGTGCATGAAGTATAGAAATTCCATATTTAAATGTGTCTTCATAACAGACTCTGTTCTTTAGTTTCTCTAGATCATTTAAATCTTTAGGAGTAGCCTTACACATATTGCACGCTTGTGAACTTGAAGTATCAGTCAAAATGTTGACTGTCTTTCCATCCAGCATCGTACATATGGGAATATGTATAAATTTTATTTGCTTAGTTCCTAGAACGATTATCGTGGGCTCCAATTTCAATATTTGTGTTTGTACTTCGTTATATTCTTCTTTTACATTTTGGACATTTTCTTTCTTTATTTTAAATCCAATTGGACGGCAATACCTTGTCGATGATGGTGTCGTATTCTTCCAATATATTTTTTTGTTACTGCCATTAGATTCACACATTTGTAGTGGCACGATCGTACACAAAATGATGTTGGAATCCGCATATTCCGAATTATTGGCGAAATTTTGTTTGTAAATACTGTGTCCACCGCTGCCATCTAAGCCCCATTTATAATAAACTTCGATAGTATCACAGTCCTCCGAAATATTTTGAAGTATTACATCAGCCTGCACTTGTGCTAAACGTTGCGTAGTATGTATAAGAAGATCTATCACTGGTATCACAGCCTCGTTCTCAGTTATCATAATATTTGTTGGATAACACTTCCTCTTTGTCTCTGCTATCACATGATATGAGGGATAAATATCAGCCCCTCTTTCTTTTGCTCCAAGTCGCATCGTTATGTAATCCTCTTTTGTCAACTCAAGATCCACTATAAGAACTAAAGCTTCTTCAGGGCTGTACGGTCTTATATTAGCAAAGGATGACGTATCTTGCACCTTTTTCATTTTTTTTAATGTGTTGGGCGAAGATTGTATTGCTAATTTCACAACCTGGGCTGCAGTTCTTTTGCCTGATTTCACCAAGCTTGATTCTGCAGCCAAGCACAGTGTTTCTGAACAGAGATTTGATACAATTGGTTCAACATGTTGCTTACTGCGTTGAGAGCTCTCTTCGAATAATTTTCTTGGCGTGCCTCGCCTCACTGGTGCTGCTGCTGCAAGCTGTGGTGGCTGTATGTCCAGGAGTTTCAAGTCTTCATTAAGCCATTTCATATCTTGTTGTTAAAACGGTCGTACATATAATTACAACCTCGCCATTTCGTCAAAACCTACGTAACAAACACTTTGACCACAAGTTTTATTTGTTTGGTACAATTTTCAGAAAGTTCACTAATGCTAAAGTTGTCCAATATATACTGTAATAATTGTTCATTACACTTTAATGACGATAACTTATAAAACTGTTTATTTTTTAACACTATAAACAGTTCTTTTTTCTTAATCTTTATTTTCATTAAAGCGGGGTCGCCACAACCTGAAAAATACCCTCTATTTAACGAAAGGGGAAACAAAAGGACTTCTATTTTATTTTTTGATGTTATTTATAAGATATTTTTTGAAACTAGTAAAAAAAAATTGGTGTACTTATTGGAACTTTTTATATAACTCTAGCTAAAGTTGACATTTCAAAATTTTTTGAAGCAAATAATAAATGTTATATAATGTTCATCATATCTAAACTACGAACAACTGTAGTTGTCGAACTGATAGTTGTCTACTATCAACTTTTCAGTTGATAGTAGTGGCAGATTAAAGTACATACCTGACGCTTCAATATCCATATTGAAAACCTAACGATTTTAAATTTAGGAATATATTACGAACGTAGTTACTCTGTCAACAATTCACGCGTAACTAAGTGTATTCCCCGTGCAAAAGATAAGCTAACTTTGCGCACAAGGCTGGGCTATACTGTTATGTTAACAAAAAAAATTTACGGTTCATGTCTGACTAGATTATAATGAACATTTTGAAGGTATTTGTGATTAGTTTAATGATAAAACTTATATCTATTTTTGTCGTCGTAATTTAGTTATTTGTCCTTATGTGCGACGAGTCGGAAACTGCTGAACATATACTGTGTGAATGCGTCGCCAGAGGCTGCCTAAGACACAAAATTTTCGGTAAAGTTCTCCTGACACATACCGTACATAAAGGAACAAGACCTTGAAGCAATACTAAGCTTCATCAAGGAAACTTACATTGGCTCTAAATCTTTTGAGGGCTTAAGTTACAATAGGTCTTGTAGGTCGAAGTGGCGAGAGGGGCCTTTTCCTTCAGGTCGACAGCAACACAAAAATAAATTGTTTATAATAAATAGTATAATCATAATCTACAGTGTTCGTCAAGAAGTCAGCAAAACCCTTTCTTTTTTTTGTTTCATTGCATCTAAGTTTCTGAAATTTAGTTTATATTGGAGGTTCATTCAAATGCAATAAAATACGATAATAGTATATTAAAAAACTAGTTTAATGAATGAGTGCTTTAAGTCTTATGAAACGTGTTTTTATCCTTTTTTTTAACAGAAATAAAATAAGTTTTGACAATGTAGGGAAATAGGTATGTAGCAGTTGGTAAAACCGTGACACTTGAAAATAGAAATTAGAAATTGCCAAAACACAAAATATATTCATCTGAAAAAAATGTTTTATGTAAACCTCCTGAAATAAGAGAAATTACTCAGAGTTCTATTAAAATACTACTTCCAGAGAAGGCCCACGAAAGGTACGAACAACAGTACGCTAAATTTAAGGCGTGATGCGAAGAGAACAAGATTAAAGAAATTTCAGAAAATGACCCAATGTCACCAACTTGAACTGGTTCCATAAAATGTTACTAAAATCTCATTACCGCATTGAATGCTGTAAGGAGTCTCATTACTGCACCCGTTTGAGTACTGTAATAGCTTTCATTACCGTTGCGAATTACAAAATAGTATATTAAAAAACAAGTTTCGTAAGACACGGTTGAAATGCACGAATTCAAGTTGAAAAACGAGTGGCGAAGCCACGAGTTTTTTAATGAATGAGTGCTTTAAGTCTTATGAAACGTGTTTTTTATGCTATTTTTTGTAATTCGCGTTTTTATACTTTTTTTTAACAAAAATAAAGTAAATTTTGGCAATGTAGGGAAATAGGTATGTAGCAGTTGGTAACACCGGAACACTTGAAAATAGAAACTTTGAATTGACAATTAGAAACTGTCAAAACACAAAATATATTCACCTGAAAAAAATGTTTGATGTACACCTCCCAAAATAAGAGAAATTGCTCAGAGTCAATGTCCTCATCATTGTGGACCTTGTATTCGATGCTAAGAACGTGTTTAAACATCCATAGACAAAAATTGTCACATTGACAACTAGAAAAATTAATGACCCAATGTCACCAACTTGAACTGGTTCCATAAAATGTTACTAAAATCTCATTACAGCATTGGATGCTGTAAGGAGTCTCATTACAGCACCCGTTTGAGTACTGTAATAGCTTTCATTACCGTTGCGAATTACAAAAAATATTTATTTCGTTTTCTTCATCACTGATGACCGGAAATATACGGTTTCTTTTGGTCTCGATATAGTCTACAACTAATGAAAGCCACAATTCGAGCAAAGCACTTCAAATCCTTAATATACCAGGGACGCGGCATATCAACAAAATGAGCCACTCATACTTACAAGACCATCTGCAGGTCGATAGTGAAATAAATGCCTTAAGCGATCAAAGTTGAGCCACAAATTTACATTTTATTTTTTATTTCAGTTATAAGTAAACCGTAAAATTTGAAATTTTGTATATCTAAGTTTCCCGATTAAAATCTGAACCACCCTGTATAGTTTATTAAAAACATTTTATAATTATAATTACATTTCTTCTAATTGCTGTTAGTTATCAAGTTATACTGAATTATATTAACTAAAAGTGTAAATTTGAAATTTATGGAGCGTTTCTTGCTTTTATGGTTCTTTATGAACAATTAGTCTTAAAAGAATTTTCCTTCTTCGCTTTTACTTCTCAAATTACAAAATATTTTACTACTTTGGATAGTTAGGAACATTTTGGGAAATATCTCGAGAATTATCACGGATACAAGTATACATACATATCGACATGGAATAAAATCCTAATATTATTTATCATAAACAATCGTGTCTCTATCTCCGCTAGTTTTCGAGATCTCCATTCTAAACATGGAAAAACTACTTACATTTTTTTTTAATTTAAATTTTCAATTTTCCAAAAATCATCACATCGATAAAACAAAAATCCCCAAAGATACGTCTAACGTTTCAAATATATTTAGCATTCAAATAATTTGTATATTAATATCTCAACGTTAAAATAATATCTTATCTAAATTCTTTATCGTTTTTAATGAAAGTCATTTTTTAATTCATAAATAATATAATTTTTATTTTCGAATTTATCACGATCCAAGGTCCACCACTACACACATAAAAAATCCCTATAAAACCTGACATTTCGCAACAACGAACCTATTTTAAGGTTATGATGACATTTGCTAATAACAAATACGTGTGATTCATTTCATATTAAAGCATAGTTTAAAAATTATTCGTAAACAACGTCTGATGTGAGACTAAAATGGATTTAAAAGTATATTTATTTTTTGGTTTATTACCCCTAAAAGATTGAGGTTAAAAATGTTTAATTTTAGGACGGTCTTTGTGCAGCTTTTCGCGGGTTTTGCGATAGCTTTCGGGGTCTAAAAACACTTGTTTATATGGATAGAGAATTAAACGAACGTACAAGAAGTCGTTTAGCTCAAGGTAATCAAAATATACGGAGAAGGTCCTCGTCGGAAAGAGAAAATCATTCTCCAATTCGAGCTTTAAAAGCCCATGAGTAAGATATATTTTATAATATTCTAGTTGAGAATTTTTAAGTGTCTATGTTGTATATATTAAATTTATTTTTAGGGAATCTAAGGTTTTAACAAGAACAATGCATTGTTGCCTCTTAAATTTTTGCATATTTTTATGCAGTATAATTTGTTTCGAATACATTTTATTACCAACAATAAATACATTATTAGAATACATCTTTGGTAATAAATCATTGGTGGGAAATTTAATATGGTCTTGGATTAAACCATGTTTATCATGGCTTTTTAAAACATTATGGGTTTTACCTTTATTTGTTTTGAGTAAATTAATTAATAGTTTATGGTTTCAAGTAAGTATTTCTTTATTTTTAACCTATACAAAGATCTAATACTTTTTTTATTTCTAGGACATTGCTGACACTGCCTTTAGATATCGAAGAGGTCGTCCCCAATTTACACACAGCATAAGCAAATCAATCTCAGATACAATTTTTAGTATTCTCGTCCAAATTTTATTTTTAGTTCAAGGAATGATTGTTGAATATATTCCCATTTATGGAGTTGGATATGTTTTATCTTTGGTTCATATGTGTTTATTATATTCTTTGTATTCGTTTGAGTATAAATGGTTTAATATGGGTTGGGAATTACATCATCGATTGGATTTCATTGAAATGAATTGGCCTTATTTTATTGGATTTGGATTACCGTTAACTTTAATAACACAATTTTCTTATATCATAAGGTAATATTACTTTATATGTTTGCAGGGTATTTCTGTGACAAACCTAAAAAATGAAAATTAAGTTGGGTTCTATATCTTATCTAACTAAATCAATTTATTATTCATTAATCTATTGATACTGCATATTTTTTGTTTAGATTTAGGAAAGAAATGCTTTAATCAATTAATATTGTTTAATGAGGGACTATCAGTGTGATATTGCATAGACAAGAATGTATAAATTATGCAATTCTAAAAGCTTAAAATTGTTGTTAAATTTGTTAGTCTATCTGTTACTTGTATATTTTGGTGTTTTGACCGTTTTGTTGAATCACATTTTCATTCACATTCTGAACATCACATTTTGAGCACATCAGGTTAAAAAAATTTGTAATCTTAAGATAATTTCTTNATAGGCATGACGATATTTCTTGTGAGCCTCTTCCGGCAACTGTCTCATTCCATACGTAGAAAAACCCGGAATCCTTTGCAAAATCATGAACCCCAAAATTGTAGCAGTAAAGACTTCTTTTGTAATAAGCATCAGAAACCGTTAAAACTGGGAATGGTTGATTTTAACAATTTCAGCGTCATCTTTCATACAACTTCTGGCTAACTCAGCTTTCTTCAGATGAAATTCATGATCTCTATCGAGTACCGTCTTATCTTTTTGATTCAAATCTGGGTTAGATATTTTAATTTTTTTATTTTAATATCACACCTTTTACATGTATCCTTTTTCGGGCTATAGAAGTGTAAGTTGAATTTCGTATTGAAGATATACCGATAAAAATGTTCCTTGACTGGCTTTTCATAGCATTTTTCGGCGTACAGCGCATACATTTTTCGCAGGCTCAATGATTGGCATACACAGATAAAAATTTTACAGAGTGAATTTACACAGTGTTGAAACATCTCCGAATAGAGTTAATATTTTAGAAAATAATTGTAAATGTAACACTTTTCGGAGGTAATTTAAATACTATATACAGGTTTAAAAAAGAATAACACGCAATGGGAATGTGAATCAACTACGTTCAGGTTTATTTCTTTACTTTCTCAATAAAATTGTTAAAATAACAGCAAACAGTGAAAATGTAACTCTTAGCGGTGTATAATTTGACCGTTCTCTTCCGTTCATCCTTGTTGTTCGGCTGTTCTTTTGTCTCGATACGCTCACATGTTGCGTAGTAGTGGCGACAAGACGACCGTTACGCGTTCCATGTGGTCGCAACGTAGGCTCTACGTTCTATCTGTGTTCGTTTGGACGCCATCGCCATNTATAATATTCTAGTTGAGAATTTTTAAGTGTCTATGTTGTATATATTAAATTTATTTTTAGGGAATCTAAGGTTTTAACAAGAACAATGCATTGTTGCCTCTTAAATTTTTGCATATTTTTATGCAGTATAATTTGTTTCGAATACATTTTATTACCAACAATAAATACATTATTAGAATACATCTTTGGTAATAAATCATTGGTGGGAAATTTAATATGGTCTTGGATTAAACCATGTTTATCATGGCTTTTTAAAACATTATGGGTTTTACCTTTATTTGTTTTGAGTAAATTAATTAATAGTTTATGGTTTCAAGTAAGTATTTCTTTATTTTTAACCTATACAAAGATCTAATACTTTTTTTATTTCTAGGACATTGCTGACACTGCCTTTAGATATCGAAGAGGTCGTCCCCAATTTACACACAGCATAAGCAAATCAATCTCAGATACAATTTTTAGTATTCTCGTCCAAATTTTATTTTTAGTTCAAGGAATGATTGTTGAATATATTCCCATTTATGGAGTTGGATATGTTTTATCTTTGGTTCATATGTGTTTATTATATTCTTTATATTCGTTTGAGTATAAATGGTTTAATATGGGTTGGGAATTACATCATCGATTGGATTTCATTGAAATGAATTGGCCTTATTTTATTGGATTTGGATTACCGTTAACTTTAATAACACAATTTTCTTATATCATAAGGTAATATTACTTTATATGTTTGCAGGGTATTTCTGTGACAAACCTAAAAAATGAAAATTAAGTTGGGTTCTATATCTTATCTAACTAAATCAATTTATTATTCATTAATCTATTGATACTGCATATTTTTTGTTTAGATTTAGGAAAGAAATGCTTTAATCAATTAATATTGTTTAATGAGGGACTATCAGTGTGATATTGCATAGACAAGAATGTATAAATTATGCAATTCTAGTTAAGCTTAAAATTGTTGTTAAATTTGTTAGTCTATCTGTTACTTGTATATTTTGGTGTTTTGACCGTTTTGTTGAATCACATTTTCATTCACATTCTGAACATCACATTTTGAGCACATCAGGTTAAAAAAATTTGTAATCTTAAGATAATTTCTTTAGTTTTTGCATCAACTGCTCTAAAGGTCTTCTTAAGACGTCTTAAAGGTCTTCCTGGTACTCTAAAATTTATTTGGTCATGCTAAACATTCACATTCTATAGTGTAAGATACTTCAAGACTGTTGCTTAAGTAAGTAAATATAACAACAAAAATAATAACTTAACAAAATAAACCACTAAAAATTTGGACATTTATACAATTAGGTATTGATGTTTATTTTAATATTCACAAAAAGCTATTTTAAAATCTACATATCTTCTGATTCTGCTTCAGAATGAGATTCTGAATCAGTCACAAATTTCCAACAATTTTCTTTTTTTGACGTTATCATTTTCTTTGTCTGCATCAGATTCTTTGCCATTTTTATGACTTGATATATTGTTGTTTCATTTCCAATTGTATGCAGTATGTGTCAGTTTTCCTTCTCTTTCACTTTCAAGACGATTGCGTCTCTTACTGTGTATCCAGCTGAAAGTACTGAATGATCTTCCAGTTGCTGCTGATGTGACTAGTGCTGACAAAATACGAACAGCTATTTTGCTTAATGTAGTACTACTGCAGGGTCCTTTCCACCACAACAATGGGATCATTGATACCAGGCTTGTATTTTCCCATACAAAAGCTCTACTCCACAAACCTTCATTAGATTTATACTTTTGCCAAATTAGCCATACCGTCTAGTTTCATTTGCTTGACTACATACAGGCTCCGGCAGTGATAAGGAAAGATTTAAAGTAGGGTTTGCAGCGCGCCGCGAAGTGATGGGGAAGAAAGTAGCCAACTTGCCAAGACCTGCATAATTTGCCATTTAGTTTACAATGGAGCGTTGGACGGGTGAGCAGCGTGGTTACGCAGTTAAAGCCTATTTTCAAAACGATCAGATTTCGGCAAACGGGCAAATCATCGGTCCATATTTTTTTGAAAATGAGGCTGAAAATACCGTTACCATTAATTCTGTACGATACGTTGCAATGATTCAGAATTATCTCACACCACAACTTGAAGACCTTCCAGGGAATGAAGACACACTTTTTCAACAAGACGGGGCAACAAGTCACACTACAAGAATTTCAATGAATGCTGTAATTGGTTTGAAACGGCGATATCAGTTGGCCACCTCGGTCTCCCGACCTAACCCCCTGCGACTTCTTTCTTGCAGAGCTTCTTTATCCAAAACTTTCAGACACGACTTCAAGAATGCATAAATTGTAATGGAGGACATTTGGCGGATGTAGTATTCAAAAAATAATTTTTTTGACTTTGTAAACCAAATGGCAAATCATGCAGGTTTTGGCAAGTCGGCTACTTTCTTCCCCATCACTTCGCGGCGCGCTGCAAACCCTACCTTGAATCTTTCCTTTTCACTGCCGAAGCCTGTATTTGGCTATGCTATATATAAATTCCATAGCGTCAATTTCCTCTTCGTGAGAAAGATTACATCCTTTGGAGATTGGATCTAACATTATAGCAGCCAAGTGTCTTTAATTTTTTTAATCAAGTTCGAACGTTCTTCATCATCACTCAAAAAATCAGTAAGTTTATTGATGACATCAGACTCAATTTCTTTAAGAGCATTATCAACCTTATGAATTAAAGGCAAGTTTCCCTCAAGAACTGTAATCTATGACACAATTGGATTCAAAATGTCACGTAAGATTATGATCTGTGGCCAAAAATGATTGTCGTCCAACAAAAGAGATTTTATTTTCTTAGAGTGATAACTTTTTCATGTACACTTAATGTCTGTAAACCAACTTTGTTTGCGGAGGAGACTTTCAATGCTGAATAAATAGCTACCCCAACGAGTTTTGCAAAGTAATTTAAGGCTTATGTTGCAATTCAATGCAACTGTTTTTAAAATTGTACATCAAAAACTAGAAAGAAGAGGTTACTTGAACTAAAACTAGAAGTAATGGTAGACCTAGAACTAGAAACTATTGGATTAAGCAGTGCGTCTTTTGAAAAAGTGTTTGACGTTTTGGATGCCATGTTGCAACCTTCTTAAGAAACAAGTTTTAAGTGATTTTGTCGAGTTAGCTAGCATGTTCCACGTGCGTCTGAATTCCCATCCGTATTCTCTATTCATATTGTTCCCATGTTGATGGATCTCTATCGCCTCTCTTGTTATAGTCTGGAAATAATTTCCTGCTTTTGCTAGCACCTTGATCTTATCGAAATCTGTAGTGTGTCCCTTTTGTGGCAATGCTGTGTGACTGCCGACAGTTGATGCTGTACTCAATGCCAAACTGGACGTTTTGACCAACGTAATACTTACCACAATTACATGATACCCTCCCTTTAATTGGGTTTGTTTGTCTTTAGCTATCGGACTAGCGGTGCGTATTTTTGATTAATTTATCTCATGTGGGTACTGAAACACGTCGAACCCAATAACACTGTACCACAAACTACCAATTGTATACAAATAAAATTACAGTGCGCAATAATAATAATGAATTAATATTAATGGTACAAAAGTGAATCAAAAGAAAAAAACTAAAAGTAAGTCTAGCTGATATAAATATACACTGTTGGGAATAATTCACGAGCACACCCTACATAATCTGAACGCGTGAAGATAAATCCATAATATTTGCGGAGTACAAAGGTTTACTGTAGACGAGTTTATTCAGG